ACACGACGACGAACGCAACATTTCAGGATTTTGGTCAATTTAATAATACATAAATGTGATACCAGATAATCTGAAGCTACAAAATACAAATATGACAATGTTTACGATATAGATCTAAGAAATAAAGTTCAAAATGGCGAAAATTAGGTAAACGTACATTTGTCCGACTACGTCCATCGTTTCTAACCTTTCTTCAACAATAAAATCTAAATAATTTGTTTCTTTACTTTAATTTCACTTCGTGCTGGCCGCCATCTTTGTTTTCGTTTATTTCGCCCCAGTCCTCTAGCGGCTCTCGCTTTCAAACGCAACAATTTGCATTATTCAAATTGTGCAAGTTTATTTGCATATCATAACCAGTTGCCATGGCTAGTTTGCCACTGAATACTGTACAATATCATATATAACAAATGATAATAATTAATACTTAAATGAATAATTTGATATGCAGAATTTAATAACAATTTCATACACAGAAATACTACCAGTAAGTCAGTTTTTGCCTCAATTATCATTTTAATGGTACTTTCAAAACTACCACTACCGCAGAACAACGGAACAATCTGCCGATGGGGAGACAAAATCTATTTTGTTGACATTTTTGTTTAATACGTCAGCTTCATATGACACCATTCATTGTGTAAATGATTAAGATTGCAATTGTTTAATATGTCAGCTTCATATGACACCATTCTTTTTATAAATGATTGTACTCAGTCAGAACTGTAAAACTATATAATAAGAAAGAAATTGTGAGCATTATGGCAAAAAGTCAAATAATTTTTCATTCGTGTACAATTGTGTGTTACAATTTGGACATCATACTGCTCATTTGACCTTATGCATAATGATGTCACAAGGCTTGATGCCTGCGAGGAATGCTGGTCTTAAGCTATGGGCAAACTAGGAAACGTTGCGGAAACATTTGCGATTCTCGATGCTTCCTCAGACGTTTCCCTGTTCGCCCACCCTGTTCGTCCACGCCTGTTCGTCCGCAACAACGTTTCCTAGTTTGCCCAGGACTTTAGTAGTAATCGCCCAGGAAAATTAAACAATCCAAAATGGCCACTATCGAAATTTTCTTGGCCATCAAGCCTTAAGACGTCATTATGCATAAGGTCTATTGATTTGATATACAGACATTACAGTAAAGCCTTGCTATCGCATAAAAGAACCAGTAGGTTAAGAACCACTAGCCTGAAATTTGGGCAATTGAGCACCCAAAATACAATGTGTTGAATATAAAAAAGTATAGTGTGAAGTAAGACAATATACGAACCACTTCAGCCTGAAATCAAAATTCACTGGTTCTTTTATACACGGCTTAATTACTGCATATCATATTCCCATAATTAAATAATAACAATATCAATAATCATTTTACTGTAATATAATAAATATATATATATAACTATTTTTATTGACAATTTTCTAATTTACATACAACCTACATATTTGTAAAATTTGATATACAATACCTTGTTGGCTTGATCTTTTGACAGAATCAGTATACAAGTGATACAACTTTATTATTGCCAACCGTCGACGATTGCCCAGCTAGCAAGATCACAACCTCGCTAGTATAAAGTATAAAATATACCTAGTTCACACATAGCTAGCAAGTTTGGTACAGTTACACAAAGTTCACAATTCACTGCTTTTTTGAAAAACATAATATGAACAGCTCCTTTAATTTTGACTTGATTTGACAAAATGATCGCCACGAACACACAACAAAATATACACCTAGAGGAGATAGAATTCGAATTTTTATAATGTATTTTTAATATAAAAAACAGACTATCACGTTCATTTACATATATAAATGAAAGTATTCAAACGTTCAAATAACTATTTCATATCAACATACCTTCAAAAATATAATTCTTTTGATAGTTTTCCTCCAAAATCAAATAGTAATATTGTGAAATAAGCCTCGTGCAATGGAAAAATATGCGACATTGCCATATGGTCATGTCAAAATTAAATGTCATAGCTCCTATGAAGCTACGGCGCACCGAACGCAGCTTTCGGAAGTGATCGGATTATCATCGTAAACTTCCTGCGTATATAAATTTGTACACAACGTCATTCGAATTCTGTGACGTCAGAAAATGCGATCCGAATGATCGAACGAACAAACGAACGAACGAACGACAAACAAATCTCAAATGCTTTGGCTAAAATACATAAGTCGCGCGGGGATCTGGCACGAGTAAAAACTGTAAACGTTGTCAAGAATAGGTGGCTGCCATCGCTTCGCTCGGCAGCAATAATAGAGATATAACTTCTTTGACACTAACCTTCAATGGAAAGCTCATCAAATGATACGTTTAATACTGACTCTTCAAATGTGTCTTCTGAATTCTCCATACTCGCTATAGCGAGCTTAAGATGTACCAAATCTGCGACGCGAACGTGACATAAAAACCGTTGCTAATGTTTGGGATCCAGTTTTATTTTGCTTCACTAGTGTGTCTCTGACTTTGTTTATCAACTGGAGGCCATAATTTTTAACCGTATAATGAAACTGTGGGAATATAGTTACCGAGATTTTCTTCACGTCCGCGTCGTAGATTTGGTGCATCTTAGGCTCTGTTTACACTATACCGGATTCGCTGGTCAAGACATCTTCTTTTGCCGTTACGGAGCAATCGGGTTAGTAGCAAATGCTTATTAGTTTGACAGAATTGGCATGTTTATTTGGGTCTCTGGGATTAAAAATCTTCACAGCCTTTCGATATCTACAAAATTTGACCCACTCCCGCACTCCGATAGCAATCCGCTATAGTGTAAACGGGGCCTTAAGCTCGCTTTGATAAACATATACGCCCCCCCCCCCGAACAGGACACAGATAATTGAAACAGTTTAATATTAAAGTCTTCAAATCACATGGAGAACGCTAATATTTTAACACTGTTTTGAGCGTCCTTCTTATATACACCTTCGCTGAAGAGTTTGTGTCAATTGCTCAAAAGAATTTGGAGTTATTCAAGTTCTAGCACTTTTTCGTCCAATTTAGCACTTTTTCGACCGACTTCTGGCAGAGATTTCGCTTCCTGCTTTCCCCGTCTCCGCCTGCGCGTCTTCCACACAGCGGTTCGATACGGTAAGCGCCATGTAAAGCTCATTGAAACCTCAGCTGCGGTAGCCTGCGTAGCAGGCGTTTAGTGCGGGCGGGAGAAGAAAGGGCGTCGTTAAATAAACGCCTGCCCAAATGCCTATGATTAATTTGTTCTTCTCCGAAGAATCTTCGGAAAAGCTTCCCATTGGTTAATCTCGTTAACGGAAGTAATTACGTAACTCAAATGTCAACAATAATTTTGCTCGCGTTGACGCGTTTATAGCTCAGTGGTTTATAGTCGCGTATCAAAAATATGCCGCCTGTTTATGCTTTCTAGGAAACTTTCTTATATTTCAAGTATTTAGGCTTCGAAATTCAGTTGAACCAGAACAGAGAAAGTATATTATTAATTTGCTACGTGGTGAAGACGCCGGTTATCGCGATTCTTCCTAGGAATACGGAAAAGTTTGATCTTTCAATTATACATTTTAAATATATCCTGAATATTTGTTAATATAGTTGTCTTGTTATTTGTTCACTTTAAAGTATAATTTAAGACCAGATAGTTGAGGCTATATCACTTGGCATTGCAGCTATGAGGTTGAATGATGATTTTAAGAATAACATTTTAAAACATGCTCAACTGTTATATTTGCTACATGGCAGAATACGTTAAACAACCGTGGTTCAGGAGTCTTTTAAAAGATAAAAGCTCTGTGCACGTTGTGACTGACTGTTGTCTAAAATAGCTTCAAAAACTCAATAATTCATGAGGAAAACACAAAGAAAAATCATAAACGTGTCGTATCCTTGATATGTGATAGAGATTTCCCTTGATTTACATAAATTTTAATGATTTTCTCTACATAGACACACCGAATGTTTTGAAAGCTACTTCGCCAATGAACGTATACTAGATTGATCGTTATTGAAGCAATTTAAAACATTCGCAGTGCGTGTTTTATCAGACCATCTTTATATCTGATAAAACACTGCTGCTAGACAAGTGCTCGTGTTTTAAATAGTACATAAAATCTCTGCAAATCTCCGTAGTTGCCGAGCAAAAAGCATGCATGATGCTAAATATAAATCTCGACTATGATTGGATAATGGGTGAATGTGCTAATTACAAAACGTCAATCCTTAATGGGCGAAAACAAATTTGTCATAGCCAATTTGGGCAGGCGTTCCCTCTGTACCCGCCCGTCAGCTAAACGCCTGCTACGCAGGCTACAGCTGCGGAGGAAAGGGTACTAATGACAATAAAAAGCTGTTTTGGAATTATGTTTCTGCGAAACGCAAACTTTAGGTACTAATAATTTAATTTCTTTAAAAAATGGAAACGAAGTTATAACAAACGATTCGGACATTGCGCACACAATGAACGATTTTTTTGCCTCTGTATTTACAGAGGAAGATCAAACCAATTTACCAGAGTTTGAAAGAGTTGTTAATGATGCTGATCTGACCTCATTGCAGTGTTCACAAGCGGACGTGATCAGGCTGTTGTCTGAATTAAAGCAAAACAAATCTTCTGGCCCCGATCAGATACATCCAACAATACTAAAGAATTGTTCTGTATCACTAGCCCCATCGCTATGTAAACTGTTTAATATGTCGTTTTCATTGGGGATTGTACCAGATCAATTGAAACAGGCTGATGTTATACCATTGCACAAAAAGGGTCCAAAAGATGATCGAAAAAATTATCGGCCGGTATATCACTTAGGGACCGGTCATTAAATATGGCAAGGGGGGATGGAGGAGAAACTAGAAATTTTGAAAAACATTTTGAGGCCCCCCTCAAAAATTATATGCCTTTTCAAGGCCCTCCTTGTGCATTTTATACTTTTTAAAGACACCCCCCCCCCCCCTCTTGTACCGCTTGACTGATATAGTTTTGTATTGAACAAAGCTTAGGAGAGCAAGTGATCAATGAAGAGTATTAAAAGAGGTATAAAATTTGATGAAACTAGTTAAATAAATATTTTAAAATCTATTTAGGTAGGTTACTCTATGGCCTATGCTTGTCTAGATCTCGCCTACATCCACTTTTATATTATGTTTTTATGCTTTACATACAGAGCATCGGAACAAAAGCAGTGGAGCGATTAACCTATCTAATATTACAAAAGAACCCTCAACGCGTAACCGCAAGCAATCTATTAATTTGAATAAAACGAGTTTGAGTTCACCTCGAAATATCGATGACAATCTACCTCACGATAACGAACAATATGTTAGTCCGTCCGTAAGTAATATTGATTTTACGGCAGACGTGCCCCAGCCTAATTCTCAAACTAAACAGAAAGTAGATCTTACGGCAGACGATCGTATGGCAGACGAGTCCCAGCCTAATTCCCTAATTAAACAGAAAGTAGATCTTACGGCAGACGAGCCTCTGCCAAACCCCTTAATCGCCCAGAATAAAGAAATTAACTTACCCAAGAACGGGAATTCAAACTCGAAAACAAAATTTAACCGCGTCAGTAACGAAGATAAAAATAACAAGTACGTCAACTCTCCCAAAAGCTCTATCCCTTGCCCCTTTCTATCCCGCCGAGGATGGTGCGCTAAAGGGAACCGTTGTGATTTTCAGCATAAAGAGCCTGGTCGTGACAAACACAAAATATCCTGTCCTTTTCTACGAAGGAATGGTTTTTGTTTGAAAGGGGATCGATGTGATTATTCTCATATCGGTTTTTCTCATGGTATGGTGGCTCCCAGACCCAGGATGAACGCCACTGCTTATCCAAGTTCTTCCCTACATACCCCTATCTATCAATGTGCTCCCCCTTTTCAACCAGATACGAGACACAACACAAGGTCACCTTTTTTGTCCCATTCCCCCTGGCCTATGATTCCTCCTTTCCCCCTCCCACTGATGAATGCTCTTACTTGGCCCCCGCTGACATACTGAACATCCACGATCATAAACTCATGACATCTCCCCCTTATCAGGAAAACCTACAAAACATAACGGTTAGAATCACAAACAGAAGTTTTAACAAATCTTATAAAATACCCTCAAGAACACACGGTATTTTAATTACTGTCTCATTTAAAACCCAAAATGAGAACAAAAAGACGTTCGTGCCCAAAATATTACTCACAAACACCATGTCACTCACCCCTAAAATTGACGAAGTCTCTTGTTTTATGAAAATTCACAATCCAGACGCTGCTTGTATCACCGAAACTTGGCTCCATGGATCAATTGACGAATCGTGTCTTTATATAGATGGATATAATTTCATCTTCAAAAACCGTTCAGTGGGCTGTCATGGAGGTGTGGGTTTATATATTAAGAACTCAATATCCTTTGAATGTTTAGACCATCTACAGCATCCCTTGTTAGAGGTTCTCTGGGTACGTCTTACTCCCAAAAGATTACCCCGTGGATTTACCTGTCTTGTAATTGGCGTAATATACCACCCACCACGCGCCGATGATCATGAAATGCTCAGTTACCTTTCAATATCACTTACCACCATTGAAAGCAATTATCCAGGCTGTGGTCTAATGTTATCAGGAGACTTCAACCAATTAAAAGTTAACCGTTTACTGAACCAGTTTCAATGCAAACAAATGATCAATGTTTCTACCAGAGCTGACAAGACTCTTGACCTAATTATTACCAACTTATACTCGTTTTACGCTAAAGACTCTGTAGAGAAACATCCTCCCTTTGGCCTCTCAGATCACAATGTGGTCATTCTAAACCCTAAAAACAGATGCGATAAATCAGGTAGTCGAAAGGTCGTCATAAGTAGAGACATGCGTCCCAGTAAAAAGAGCGAACTCGGAAGATACCTAACCTCCTGTAATTGGTCCATCCTAAATCATCTCGAAACCTGTGAAGAAAAACTTGAGCTTTTCACTGATCTTATTAACCTGGGTATCAATATCCTAATGCCCAAAAGAAGAATAACACTACATGTGAATGATCCCCCTTGGATCACAGCTAATTTTAAGATTCTTATAAAAAAACGCCAAGCAGCATTTTCTAACGGCAATAACGAACTGTTTAGGTATTACCGCAACCGAGTTAATCGCGAAAGAAAAAAATGCCGTGAAAAGTTTTATTCGTTGAAGGTTGAACATCTAAAAAAGTCAAAACCAAGTCGTTGGTGGAAAGAAGTAAAACAGATTGCTGGTATGACCCCCTCAACGGGAGCGGAAGATCTATATAACCAAATTCACATTGACGATATTGACCGGAAGTCTCCAAATGAGATTGCAAATCTCATAAACACAGCCTTCCTAGACCCCATGAAAACTTACCAACCTCTTACTTCTCTTCCCTCCTACGATCCAAATGACTCTGTCCTCCATCTCGACGAATTTGATGTGTATAAAGGGCTTGCGTCCCTTAACCCCAGAAAAGCCTCAGGCCCAGACGGTGTTCCGAATTGGGTGTTAAACGAATATGCAGAAGTCCTCGCCCAGCCTGTCAGTTCGATTCTCAATAGCAGTTTTAATGAACAACGACTCCCTGCCTCGTGGAAAGCAGCTGATGTTGTTCCAATCATAAAAACGAAACCGGTAACTGAAATTTGTAAACATTTAAGACCAATATCCCTCACCCCAGCCCTTTCTAAAGTAGCAGAAGAATTCGTTGTTTCTAAATAGATAGGGCCAGCTATTCTGTGTCAAATGGACCCCAACCAATTTGGAGTGATACCAAAATCCTCTACATCTATGGCAGCGATATCAATAATCCACAATTGGTCCCAATCAACTGATGGCACTGGCGCAGCAGTCAGAGTAGCCCTGTTCGACTATAAAAAAGCGTTTGACCTTATTGACCATTGTATACTCGCTGATAAAATCTCCAGATTACCAATTCCGAAGGCAGTCGTACGCCGGACTATTGATTTTTTATTGGACAGAAAACAAAGAGTTAAACTCGCAACCGACTGCGTTTCAGAGTGGGGTGCTGTCGCGGCTGGTGTCCCTCAAGGGACGAAACTTGGGCCATGGCTTTTTCGATGGATGATCAATAATCTTAAAATCACTGAAGTATCTACTTGGAAGTATGTCGATGATACAACCGTTTCTGAGGTTGTTAAAAACGGCGATACCAGCAAAGCCCAAGACGCAGTTACCACAGTAGAAAACTGGTCGAATTCCAACAGATTACTTCTTAATGCAGATAAATGTAAAGAACTCCAAATCGACTTTAAATCCACGAAACAGAACTTCGACCCTCTTACAGTCTACGGGAAGAAATTGCCGGTTGTCCAAAACGCTAAAATTCTAGGCCTCACCATCTCTAGTAACCTTAAATGGACTAACCACATTAACGAAGTCATCAAAAAAGCTAACAAACGTCTTTACTTCATTATCTTACTTAAGCGCGCAAAAGTCAGTCCGAAAGACATTGTAAACTTTTACTGTACAGTTATCAGGCCCATTTTGGAATATTGTGCCCCGATTTTCCATTACTCAATCCCATCCTTCCTGTCAGAAGATCTTGAGACGGTACAAAAGCGAGCACTGAAGATCATTTTACCCGCGAACTCATATAGCGAAACTTTAGAATATTTCAATCTTCAAACTTTGTTTCAAAGACGCGAAGAAATGTGTAACAAACTTTTTACGAATATTACTAACAATCCGACACACAAACTGCATAATTTACTGCCTCCCAAACATGAGTCGGTTTACCAACTTAGGAACAATAGACTGTTTGAACGATTCGAAACTAATACAGAAAGATTTAAAAAAACTTTTATTCCTATGTCTAGTAACTTAAGTTAATGTAATTTTTAGTACTAAGCGTTTTAATTAATGACCATTTGTAAATATGCCTAATTAACCCATATTCTATCTTTTAAATAATGTTTTATATACTCTTGTAAATCACGCAATTCAGCTGTCTAGCTGCAAGGTGAATTTTAAATACACTATCTATCTATCTACACTATCTATCTATCTATCTTTCTTTCTTGAAATTTACAAAATCTTGCAAAAGCGAGCAAAAATGAAATATATTTGCCAGAAATTTATCAATCAACATATCAAGAAATGTTTGCTATTTCGCTGTCGTCATGCAGTCGTTATAATGCAAACTTTAAATTGGACCAATCACAATGTTCGCTATTCATACGTGACAGTCCCCCATATTTTTGACATCAGTGAGGATGACCACCTACGCACAGTGAGCCACGCCCGCGATCATTGGTGAACTTTAGACTTCGCTAATGCTTTCGTTTCCCCGGGTGTAAATAGCCGGGGAGAATTAGTACCCTTGCCACAAAATAGAAATAGAGCAGAAGCTTCACTCGAGTCGGAACCTTTGAAGTTTTTGTGCCGGCACATGTTACTTCCGGATCTTGGCCGCCAGGTTGAAAGCAACCAACTCTGGTCCAAAACATTATAAACTAATATGGCAAAACTTGTCTTTCATAACTTTAAATGGGTATATCGTCGTTATTTTATGGTGGATGTCATTGAAATTTTCAGGACGTACAAAAGAAAGGTAGATTATTCATTTTGTTATAATACAAGCTTATTGAATGATGCTAAAATTGTCATTTTAAACGCATTGCAAACTGTATGTGCTGTTTTGGCACCGATGGATATATACGCATTATGTTGTTTTTCTGAGTGCAGTTTGAAACTATTGCAACTACTATTCTACTTAACTTGAAGAAAAATGCGTCATGTCTTGTTTTTAGAACGCAGTAGGTTGAACTTTTTTAATTTTAGGCGCATATTATACTGTGAATATCCTTATAATTCGTACTACTATTCGTACTAAATTATATACCTGATTAGTGAAAGGGGATGTGATGTCTTTGTATTGGGCTTCTTTTCTTAATTAACAAAAACGTTTTTGGACTAAACTAAGTAAACTGCGCGAGTAGAATCCATTTTCACCAGATCTGGTTTATAGTTTGTAACTTTGATATTAAACTTTGATTGCTGGTAACAGTAATGAGTACGATATTTGTTCACATCTGTATCAAGCAATTGATGGTGGAGCAGACTAACTTGCCAGAAGTTACAGTTCATGACCCAAAATTGCAACACACCAATCTCTTGTAGATTTACTCAACAAGCATCATCTTAATTAATGATTTCACCTGTTATCAATTACTATCAGCATTGTTAGGTTTACCATCTTAGTGAAGGAGCGAGACTAATTAAGTTCCAAAATAATAAAATATTGCACATTCAAACTGTGTAGCTCAGTCTGGAATGTATTGGTCTTGTAAACCAGGGGTTGTGGGCTGCATTCTTACTGTGGTAAAGTTGATTTTTCAGCTTGCCTGGTATAGATTTACTCAGTGTAGCAACATCTTAGTAATTTCTCCTGTGTATAATTACCATCAACATTAGATTTAACACCAGCCTTGTATCTTACAGTTCAGTTCTTATGTACTTTGGTGTAAAAGATTTTAAGCAATATAACTTGTAGAATTTATATTGCTTAATTGTTTTGGCAACACAGCATATTGTCCAGTGCACATGGTTAAAGATGTGCTACCTTCAAATATTTTCTGTTCTTCTTTTTAGTGTTGGAAAGTTCACGATTGGCAAATTTCAAGCTGTAGTAAATGCACAACCTCAAAAACAATTTTTGTATCTTTCATGATGTAGTCCAGAAAGCAGTTTCTTGGAACATGAAGACTTTCAAATGTGTTTTCTGTTTGATCAAAGGCCTTAAAGAAACAAAACTGCTTCCTGTTATCATCTAGGTCATTACATTGGATGGCATTTGTGCAGAGGAGGAGTGGTCACTATACCGTGATGCATTGCGATTAATCCAATTAATTATATATTATTCATTTCCACGAGCGGGCGCTTATTGTTCTCCTGACCTTCAACATCAAAACAACAAGAGTGAGATTATATGGCGGATTTTGTAAAGCCGACCACCGCCATAAAGCTTCAGTTTTGGAACGACACGATCTTCTTTTTGTTCATTGTGTATCGTCAGAGCCTACGCTGTTGGTTCCTATGGGTTATCGTGTGTTCAGCTTTGAATGCCGTGAGATTCACATCAGTTTTTTGGATAGTTTGCATATCAGAAGAATCGGTATTTTAATAATTGTCTATTTGTCTCTAAAAGTTGATGAAATATTGCAATAGCCCAGCATTGATAGAGATACATTCCAGTTGTGCTTTTAGGGTAAGTCGTTTGCTTTAATCGTTAAAGCGAGTACAAAGGCAATGTACCTACACAATGCTTTTTCTATGATTCAGATTTTTATAGCCAATGTTGGTAACAATATTTGTGCTTTCCATTTTGAATATATGCATATAGAGCTAAAATAGTTTAAGTTTATAGAGAAGCTTAGACTGTTCATTTGGTTTGATCATAGAGGTTTGATTACTTTGGTATTTTATTACTATTAAAGTAATTATCCATTGAATTGCATGAGTCACATCAATTGCACCCTACTTGATTATTTTACTCTGTCTCATGCCAGATTGTTTTACTGTCTAATGGCAGCTGGCCTATCTGCCCATGTGTCTAGTTAACCCATTGGCATTGAGTCACACTGTCCCCGCATGTGCCCTGCTTTAATATTTTACTTTGTTAAACTGAATGTTGTTTTTATGTTGCAGTTCTCTGACCTCAGTGATCTCGGGGCAAGATGGAACAGGACAATCTCTTATCTTTGAGAATGTTATTTTATGGGAATTCGATATTCTGCCATCCCCACTTTCTCAAACAATTCAACCTGGAGATCCAGATACTGTTAATGAAGAGTTGGACAGTGTGCTGTCACCAATAAATTTACAAGGGCAAACTGGATGTAACTGTGATCTACAACCAATAAATTTACAAGGGCAAACTGGATGTAACTGTAATCTACAACCAATAAATTTACAAGGGCAAACTGGATGTAACTGTGATCTACAACCAATAAATTTACAAGGGCAAACTGGATGTAACTGTGATCTACAACCAATAAATTCTATGTGCTAGGTGGATATTACTCCACAGTACAGCATTGTTGATTGTGAAAAGTGGACCATGGGACAGAGATGATCCAAGAAACAATTATAACAGTCACATGGATTACTAGAATATTGGATCGTTCCAGAAAAGATCCATACTCCTCCCCACGGAGGAAATTTCTGCCGTCCAGAGGGAGAGGGAAGAAAAAATTGTTCCTGATAATAGTAAATGTATCAGGACATCCGAAGGGGGTAGGAGGGTTAACTTCCAATTTCCTCTGTGGGGTGGTATGGATGTTTTCTGGAATGAGCCATTGTAAATTATTTTATTTTATTATGGATCCCTACATATTTATTTTATTATGGATCCCTACAATTATAACAGTGACATAAATTACTAGAATATTGTAAATTGATGTTTGCGATGTTATTCTGAGTGTGCATGCACACTGGGCAAGCTGAAAAGTTTGCCTGACCACGGTGGGAATCTAACCTGCGATCTTTGGGATATTAGTCCAATGCTCTACCAACTGAGCTCGGCTCGGTGTGGATGCACACTCAGAGTAACATCACAAACATCATATTCACCTGAGTACATAACACCAACACACACAAGAAGTATATTGTAAATTGTTGTTATTTTATTTTATTATGGATCTAGGCAATTATAACAGTGACATAGATTACTAGGATATTGTAAATTGTTGTTATTATATTTATTATGGACAAAATTTTTCCATAACTAGATCAAAGCTTTATTTTCCTCAAAGGTCTATTTATGTTTTTTCACTGGTGACTTCTTTGAAGGAGTCAGCTTGATCTTTCTGCTAGGAAACTACAAAAAAGTATGTCATTTACTAAAATGGAAATTGAGTCACAGATGACATATGAATAATCATACATGAATAATGTTTATACACTGCAGAATAATGTTACACAGAGGTGTTACACTGAATATACAAAGACGATTTAAAGAATAGAATAGCAAAGAATAACAGTTTTAAGTACAATTTCGTCTACCATAATTGTTTTTATTATACCTTTGCTGATGTGCCAGGACTTTGAATGGGCCATTCCATTTAATATAGGCACCCCCCCCCTTTTGAGGGGTTTGGATATCCTATGGGGGGAGGGGGTTTTACCTTAAATTTTCCTAGAGGGTAGCTTAAGAAATTTTCCAAAAAATAGCAAAAATTAGGTGTTTTTATAGTGGTATCCAAGGGGGTAAAAACGATATCCTAAAGTGGGTATAAAGATATCCATGGGGTAACTTCCAAAAATTACATCCACGGGGGTTCTAAAATGTTTATATCCTAAGGGGATTATGAAGGGACCCCTCAATAGGCGGGGGGGGGCGTATTAAATGGAATGGCCCATTATATGAGCCAAAGCTCGACTGAATGAACTTTCCACACGAGATATAGTCTTCAGGTTCTTCTTGTTGGTTTTTCTGGCGTATCAGTAATTTGAGTTTCCTCATTTTCTAAATCATGATCAACAATGACAACATCGCCATCATTAATAGATTCCATTTTTTGCTCCAATAAACTCGAATTCTATAAAAACAAATGATACAATCAGGAACAATATGTTAGAAAAGCTGTCTTGTTTACGTCGCGTTCGCGCCATATTTCCTGAATTAAATTCCTGTAGAGTCCTCTTCCCGCGATTGGCGACAACAAAAGCAAAATACCCCATTTTCAAACAACGATTACTCGTCGGTTTCAGGGGCTTTTTTATGTTTTAAGGTACCAATAGAAAGAGTAACCCTTGCTGAATACAATGACGTAAATTTTATTGAATTTCCCGATTTATAAACCATTTAGCCCCCTGCGTATGTCAAAGCCATTTTGTGTCATGTGCACTATTCCCGAAATATACCCCATTTTCAAACCGCGATAACTCGTCGGTTGGAGGAGATTGTTAATGTTTTAAAATATCAGCTAAAACCTTGACCTTTCCTAATTCAATGATGTGAATTTTTCTGAATTTCCCGATTTATAAACTATTTCACTCCTGGCGTATATTAATGTCATTTCTTTTATAGCA